ATACGAATAATATTATTTCGTAAGTAGAGGGTCAATAATCTAAAAAAATATTTGTGTGTTTTATTATAGTCTACACTCGTTTCGTTACATTTATCAAGCATTTGTCATTACTCGATCAATGGTACAATAACTGAAGAAAAATATTTTCATCGTGCCAATACTATTACTCCAATGAAACTATATGGTAAAATTTGCGTAATTCGACTGACGATATCTCGAAAACGAAATTGTTAATCGATCCAAGGTTTTATACACATATTCGATTGCGACTTAAATTGATCGTCTATAAAATCTCGAACAATTTTCGATACTTTTAGTTTAGGTAACCACTATCTCAAGTATTAGGTTGTCCGAGAAGTCCGTTCCGATTTTTAAAGAAAATTTGAAGGCAACACATTTAAATTTTGATATTTATTTATTAATTCATAGAATTGTACATATGTTAGTTTGTTTCACATTATTTCTCTATCTTTTATGGAACTTGAAGACTCTATCCTCAAAGATAGTGGAGAATGTGTGTTTACATTCGAATCTACATATTTACTTCACAAAAAGAATCCACAAAACATTCGTCTCAATGTTTAAAGTAAAAAGGTACATCGCAAGGTGCTTTAGTCCTGATTTTATTTAGAACAATCACTCTTTGGAATGAAATTGCTTAAAATCCAAAAATAAGTAGTAACTACGATTTTCTTTAACTTTGTAACACTTTATTAAATATTAGCATGATCTCATTGAATAATGACTTTTTCTAAAGGTGCCTGAAATATCACCTTTTAGAATGTGTACACATGTCATTTGTTGTCAATCACTCAGATCAGTTCTAATTCACCCATGTACATTCCGGACTAGCTAAATGCGTACACTATGCACGGGACGTGCATAGGTGCAACGAGATCCGTTCCGTTTTCGGCGAGTTTCGGAGTCGCTTAAGTAAATAGGAACGCGTGTTACGTGCCGCCGCGACGGGCGTGCCGTTTCCTAAAGTCATTTGTACGAAAAATGTCCGATCCTCGAACGTGATCCTTTTCCGTGTCCTCCGCGGTACCCTTCCGTAGTCCACGGAAGACTTATGCCTCCGCGCAGCTGTCGCGACAGCATTAAATCTTGCTGAAACCCGTCGCTGCTCCCTTTTTCCTGCAACTTGTTTTCAAAACCTTTTTTCCTTCCGATTCGTGTGTATCGTTCGTAGGAGGCTGCGACACTTTTTCACGTTTTTTCATCTCGTTTAATCATATGCTTGTTTTGAAATAGCTTATAATCGTCGGTGATTTAAGTAATTGGGGTGATTATGTCGAGATATTTTCACGCTCGTTTTTTCATTAAGTCATTTCGAACAGCGACTATTTAACGTAGTTGAAATTATAAAATAATAGAGGTAAGAGTTATGACGAAATTAGACTACGATTGTTTATCTATATCAAAGGTATAGCCTATATACTTTCGATAGGTGTTGCTTCGTAAATTGTAGAACAATGCATCGTTGATTAACAAAGCTATTTCGAAAATGAAACGTTTCGAGAAACTAATAATAGTTAAGTTGGTGAAGCCTGCGCAAGGGCGCAACATCCTGGCACGTGCGTAAACAATTCTTAGGTAATTCCGACATTCAACCGCGCGACCCGATACTCCCAGAATATTCGTATTTTGCAAACAGGAGTTCGCAGAAATTTAAAAGCAACGGGGGTATTCATTTTTTTTCACGTTGCAGCCTGCAGCCCGATTTCTTCCCGTATGTGTATGCTTATCCTGATATCACGGTTCTAAAATTAAACGGTCACCAAAAATTTTATTTAGTCTGTCGCGCATTGCCGCGCTGCTATCGGAAACAAATCAAATTTGTCGACGTCGTTAAATCACGCCTCGGCCGTTCAACGCCCGGGACCCAGGGAGCAAATACTCGTAGGTAGGCTCGTAAAATCGTGCCTCGTACACGAATCAACCCCGTGTCCGACGTCACTGCGTCATCGACCGATTTTTATCTTTCTTCCTTTCATACTGGATCCTTTTCTTCTAAGAGTACGCCTATTAAATTAGGTACATACATATGTATCATGTGTGTACTTATACTGAAATACCTTCGTGTTACAAACAAAGCTGTTCTCTGTTCTGTTCCCTCTAGACTCTACGTAGCTTTCGAAAAATCGGCTGATTTTACGAGCCTTAAAACAAATAGTTAAATTTTTTGAAGAAAACGAAAACTGAAAGCTATCATTTTTTTCCATTGTTAAGTCTCGTAAAAATATATTTGTAATATATGTGTAAAATATATGTATAGAATATAAAAAAGAGCAATCGCAATGTTTACAATTACGTAAAAGTTCGTAGCCGAATTAGTAGGTGTGAGAATCAACCTCTTCTGTGGTTTCTCATTGTTTGTGGAGGAAACGAAAGCGCGAACTGGAAACTAATCGGCGATCATTTTCCGAAAGGGACTTCGGCTTAAGATCAGAGAAGCCGCAAATTGTCCAGCTGTTACACGCTCATTTTACCATCCGGATAGGTGAAAACGACTTAAAGCGTTTCGACATGTGTAGAAACAAGACATTTGATACTTCCTTGCTGAGACCTCCTACCGCGGTCGGTGCTCGTCCGATTCAGATTTACGACGTTGCATCCTCTAAATGACACGAGGCCGTGAATGCTCTCGTTATTGCGGTTTTTAAACGCAACAAGTAAACTTTCGCGCGAATTCTTCGAGGCCACTGTAAAATTATTTATTTAGTCATTAAAAAACTTTTTGGAAATATGTATAAGTATTGTAGGCAATCTCTTTCCTTTACAGATATTCTTTATTTACTTATTGTTAGTTTTGCATCCATTGCATCGATCGATTGATAAGATTTGGCCGGGTATATCCGAACATATCGAGTATTAACAGAGAACTCTTATCGGAGAGTTTCAAATTCTTAGAAGCTCCTGTATACATTATAAAATAAATATATTATATTGAACGTTGCATCTGCAATGCTTGTTTCAGTTTGGATTTTAAATGCCCATATTTTATTCCGTTTTTTTTACATGTCTTGATAACAAGAACTTTACATGACAGGAGCACTGGCAAGAGTAGAAATACATACATGTACAGACGATTAGAACCTATTGAAAAATGTGCGAGAAACAGAGTGTGTAGTCAGTAACAAAGAAGTATGACTTTTTTTGTAGTAAGTGATACCGGAATAATACGATTGACACAAAGACTTCGGACTCTGTTCCTGGCTTGTGAAACAAAGAAGAAAGAAGCCAGAGAGAGAAAGAGGAAAGTGTCTCTCTTTACATGAAATCTATAGCCATTCTCATGCATGTAATTCCCACATGACTGAAAAGGGGCTCCCG